AAAATGTTAAGTACGAGATAATCAATCGACAGCCTTATTTTGTTCAGGATGAGAGCCGATGGAGCAGTGCTTGTCTGAACATCGTCTTGGTCGTTCAATAATTTGAGCTTATTGTACGATATACTACATTTCTGTACTCCAATAGATAGAGATGAGTCCTTCCGAAGTTTTAAATTGCATATTCGAAAGAGAAAACCTTGATAAAGTATTGCTACTACATCAATATCAAATACATTAAATATTCTTTTCTGAAAAAAACAAAATAGTGAACTAATTCAACATTTCCCATCTTTTAATTATATGATCAACTACTCAATTTTGAATGTTTTTTCGATTGTTGATGTAGAAATCATTAGACATTGTTTTATGAAAAAATATGAACAATCAAGTATATATTCTATAGAAGAGACAAAACAATACATATTGAATTTATTCAAAACAAAAGTGTTCAGTAGCATAGATAAGAATTAACATACGAATGAACAGCTTGAAGTCATTCACTCGTTTTAAGCTCATATTCTCGACATATAGAATGGAATTTTAGACTAAAACAACTGCTAAAAGATTTTAACTTATAGTCTTTGCCTATAGAGTTACTACAATGTTGCTGAATTTCTCTCATAGAAATAGCTTTCGATAAAAAAATTGAACAAAAGATTTTAGAATTGAAAGCTAGTTGATACATGATTCTCATGATTTTTAAGAATATCTAAAATATTTTAATCAAAATTCTTATACTTCTTTCTTGAAATATCCCAAAAAGGAAGTAACTATTTAGGATCATCAGAAACTTACTTATCGACAAAATTTCAATTCAAAAGTCTTTTATTTTTTAAAATTGTCTTGCCAGTATTCTATCCGCTGCTAAAAATCCAGCAAAACTGTCCTACTTCTGTAAAGATGTATGAGCTCGAATCTTTTTCAATTTATTTCAGTCTAACCATATAGCTATACAAAAATTATTTCATCTCAAACACTCGATCGATACTATTGCTTCCTTATTATTTCGTCTTGACTTCCACAAACGGATAAAGGAATTATATATTTACTTAAAATGACTAAACTATTTTTCTTTGAAAAATTTTCATTGAATAGTTATGAATAAATACCATTTTCTACTTACTTTCTTCATCACTATCGAATGAACCAATATTTGATTTCTCTTCATCATCACTATTTTCATCTAGAATTGTTTTTCAAATTTCTTTATATTTTGCTTCACTTTCTTCATATTATTCATTATATCTATACAACAAAAAAGAATAAAAAGAATAATATATCTCGTACAAAAATTTGTCTTACCATGCATTGGTTCAAATTTACATGGATCATCTAATGCAAACATATGTGTATATTGATCATTTTCATTAACTAAATCAAGACCAGATGGATTAGCTTTAAATTGATCTTTTCGTACAGCAAATAAAACTTCAATCATATATTGTATACGTTTATTTAATGATGATTCATGAAGTAAATTTCTTAGTGTTGAAAATATTGAATCTAATGCACGGTAACTAACTTGTAATAAATTTTGTCCATATTCTTTTTAAAATTCAATACTATTATCAGTTAGATTTTCAATTAAAAGTACAAGTATTGATAATTGCTTGTATTGGTTATATAGTTTATTTAAAAAAATCCAAACGTATAGGTTCAACAACAATAATAACAATAATAAGAGGGAAAAACAAAAGGTAGACAAGAGAAAAAAAAGATAAAGAAAATGCGTGTATTCATGTGTTCGTAGAATCACACTATATCTTGAACAATAGCATATATAATGATGATCGCACCATATAGAAGACAAAGCATAATGTAATTAAGATGATGAGGTGATAGTAGGGTCATCGAGAATTACTTTGATAACAGCTTTCCCTCTTGAAGATGAACATCCTCGTTCATTCTAACATAATGATGCGAGAAAAAGAGAAATTTGAAGATAGTAAGATTATTACAAGGTAGAATCCATTTATTTACTTGTATTCGCTTGAAATCAACTTGAACTTGTCGAAATAAAGTAAAGATCATTATTTAATCTTGTGATTCAAAGATTGGTTTCGTTATATTCACACGTACTTGTCTAACATAATCTGATTGTTCTAATTGGAATCTCATATGTAACCTGACCA